AGGCGGACGACGCGAAGCGTTCAAAAATTAGAAAAGGGTCTTGGGGTATGTTATACTATAAATGTATAAAGGAGCCCCCCCCCTAAATAGTATAGGTAAGTACCAAGACCTCGACATTATCAGGTTTATAAAGGTGGTGTGTTTTGAACACTGAGCCCCAGTCCGGAGAGCCTAAACCCAAAGCCCGAAGCCCTGAACCCTCAATGCAAAAGCGCGACGCCCCAAACCCAAAGCCCAAAGCCCTGGGGTTTAGTGTTTAGGGTTTAGGGTTTGGGGTTTAGGGTTTAGGGCTCGAAGCCCCAAACCGGCAAAAACGAGTTTGCGCCTGGGCTGCCAAAAAACGCCGCACTGCAGCCTCCGCGCCCGAGCCCCCGTTTCGAAGAAGCAACGAAGAAGCAGCCACAAGGACCTGACAGGGTCCATCCTTTAAAGGGTATTATAGGATTCTATAATAAGGCTCCCTTTGAAGGGTATTGTAGGATTTTAGAATAGAGTCCATCCTTTGAAGGGTACTGTAGGATTCTATGATAGGGTCCCCTTTAAAGGGTATCATAGGATTCTATGATAGAGTCCATCCTTTAAAGGGTAGTATAGGGTTCTCTGACAGGGTCCATCCTTTAAAGGGCACTGTAGGATTCTATGATAGGGTCCCCTTGAAAGGGTAGTTTGGGGTTCTAGGATAAGGTACTTTAGGATTCTATGATAGGGTCCCCTTTAAAGGGCAATGTAAAGTTTTAGAATAAGGGACTATAGGATTCTATGATAGGGTCCCCTTTATCTGGTATTATGGGGGGGGTTCTATAATCGCGTCGCCTTTCGAGGTTCCTTTACAAAAAAAGGGATCTATCAGAACTCCTTTAAAGGAGCTGCCTGGGCTGGGTTTAGGGTTTAGGGTTTAGGGTTTAGGGTTTAGGGTTTAGGGTTTAGGGTTTAGGGTTTAGGGTTTAGGGTTTTTCGTTTAGGGTTTAGGGTTTAGGGTTTAGGGTTTAGGGTTTAGGGTTTAGGGTTTAGGGTTTAGGGTTATTCTAACCATGAAGGCCCGTACATGAAGCAACTAGTCTAAACTGGCCGCCCGGCTGCAC